AGAGGTAGCATTCTGCTTCCACAAAGATTTATAATCTTGGAAACCCTACGGGGGCAGTTCTACTGTATTCTATATGTTGCTATGAGTCAGAATCAACTTGATGGCTGATCCTCCCACTTTGCAAATATTTTTTCTTATTATTTTCATTAATTAGGGCCTTCACAGTCATTTTCTATGTCCCTCCTCATGCATATTTAATGTAATCAGTATGAATTCTCGGGTCAATTTTAGAGCTCAAATGTGAGCAGAGACCAAGAGAATATTCTCATATAGAGCTCACTGAGAGTCATTGAAGTTCCCTGGGTGGTACAAAAGGTTGGTGGTTCAAGCCATCCCAGAGGCACTGAAGCAGAGAGGTCTAGTGATCTCTTTCTGTAAAGATGACAGCCAAGAAGACTCCATGGGGAAGTCCTTCTCTGTAACACATGGGGCTGCCATGAGTCAGAGTCAACTAGATAGCAATGGATTTGCCTTTCTTTCTCTCTTTTCTTTTTGAAGGGCATCAAATAAAAGTGTTTAATGCCCCCTGATTTGAATGAAACCATGGCCATGATATTTGTCGCTGGTTTACTCTCTCCTGCATAAGGGCAGAGTCTGGCTCTCTATGCACAGAAAGACAGTGCTCCACAATTTAAAAATCCCTGATGAATGCAGTTGGTCAAACAATCCAATGAAACCCAACATAAAGGCTCTGGAGGAAGTAGAAGAAAGACAGACCCTACTAAGTTATGCACGGGAGAGAAGACGAGGCTGTCTCCTTCTGTAAAGATTGACAGCCTTGGGAAACATATGGGGCAGTTCTACTCTGTTCCATAGGGTTGTTGTGCATTGGAATCAACTCAACAGCAGTGGGTTTGCTTTGGAATCCGGTCATGCAGCGGAGGAAGGAATGATGTAAAATAACTTGCTGGTTTCATGGAAACTGTTTATCTGGGAAAATCTGGGAGAGCCTTGATTTAAAATGTTCTGCCTCAGGTTGACCCTAAGTTTGTTCATATTTGTCACCATGTAAATCTCAATGTAGAGTCTGGAACTAAGGCCCCCACACAACAACTGTCTTCATTGGCCTGATTGCTCAGTGAATTATATGCACAGGAGACTACCATCCGTCCGTGCAGAGGACCTCCTTTTTCTTTGATGACTTTTACTTCTTGTTTATAATTTTTTTCCATTGTGGTAAGTATGGAGGTAACAAAACATTTGCCATGTCTACCGTCTTCACATGTACAGTTTGGTGAATTCATTACGTTTCATTATGAAATCGTCAGCTACCTTCAGGTGGAGCCTTCCTCAACCCTTTCTAAGGGGATTCTCCTAAGGTTTCCTTCTGGAAGATTTGGCTTTCCACAGCTGAGGAGCCTGCCTGAGTCAGTGAATCCATTTACATTAAGGCTGGGCTACACACACAGGGACCTACCTTGAGGTTTGGGCTTGGTCAGTTTCCCACAGGGCTTGGAGATGGTGACGGTCTTCTGGCAGTCGGCGTTATGCAGGGCTCGCTTCAGGCTGCCGGTCCTGGTCTTCAGGGCGGTATTCAGGTCGCATTCTCCCCAGGCTTGGAACTGGTATTTGCACTCCGCTGAGGGTAAGGGAGGGCCAAACAGAAATCTCTGAGACATCCTAGTGGAGTCGCATTATGCTAAAGACACATTTCCATCTTCAATGCTTTACTTTGAGATACTTGCAGACTCACATGTAATCACAAGAAATCCTACAGAGACACCCTGCATACCCAGCACCCAGCTTCCCACACTGGTGATGTCTTATACAACTACAGCACCAGGAAAACGATGCTGATACAATCCACGAACTGATTCACCTTTCACTGGTTTTACATGCACTTGTGTGTGTGTGTGTGTGTGTGTGTGTTTAGCTCTATGCAATGTTTGTTATATGTGGGTTTACGTGACCACCACCACAGTTAGTATACAGACCATTTCCATTACTTGGTTCCCCCCTGCCTCCTTTTATAGCCACAGTTCTCATCTTCTCCCAATCAGGAAGAACTTGGCTGAGTCATGAACCAAGAGTCTGCCCTCCTTTGTCACATGAGGGTTAGTTAGGTCAGGTGATTGGTGAGGTCATTTACTGATTTTCACTCACTCGCTGGCTCACTCAGTCACTCAGTCACTCACTGTCATCTAGACAATTCTGACTCATAACAACCCTTGCTGGGTTTCCAAGGCTGTAAGTCTTTATGGAAGCACACTACCTCATCTTTCTTCCATGGAGCAGTTAGTGGGTTTGAACCACTGACCTTTCAGTTAGCAGCCAAAATGCCTTAACCACTGTACCACCAGAACTCCTTGTTTACTGATTCTAGAAGGCACATAACAACAACAATAACAGATAGAGACTTAGCTAAAAGGACCAGCACCCCATGAGCTTGCCACATTCAGAGAAAGCAGGGTGGGACTGAGGAAGGAAGAAGGCCTTCACTGAACCCTAACCCTGGGCACCCACTTTCTCTCCTTCCCTTTAACTCTGTCCCTTCAGAACTGTTCTATGAATTAAGTGACACAGCCTGTTAGATCAACCTGAAGAGTTGGCTCTTCCCTCAGTGACTCCCTTGAGGTGCTGTCTCTAGTTGGCACCTTTTCCTCGCCGAGTAGGATTTCATGTACCACCGCTTCTTTAAAGGGCATCTGGGTTGTTTCCAGTTCTTGGTTATCACAAATAAAGCTGCTATTCATATCCGTGCCCATGTTTTTGTGTGAACGCACTTTTCACTTCCAGGGATAAATGCCTGACAGTGTAGCTGCTGGGTTGGATGGTCAGCAAATGGTTAATTGTGTAAGAAACTGCCAGACTCTTTTCCAGTGTGGCTGCACTACTTACAAGGAGCCCTGGTGGCTCAGTGGTTGAGCATTAGGCTGCCAACCAAAAGGTCAGTGGTTCACACCTATCAGCTTCTGTGGGAGAAAGATGTGGCAGTCTGTTTCTGTAAAGATTTACAGCCTTGGAACCCTATGAGACAGTTCTACTCTGTCCCATAGGGTTGTGATGAGTCAGAATCAACTTCAGGACAATGGGTTTGGGCTGGTGGGTTTTTTTGTTATTGTAGTTACTATTTGACATCTCCATCAGCAACATGAGTGACCTAGTTTCTCAACATTCTTTCATCCTTGCTAGTATTTGGTGTCAGCACTTTTTTTTTAAAGTCATTCTGACAGGTTGGGTAGTAACATGTCATTGTGTCATTGTGGTTGTAATTTACATTTCCCTAATGACCAATGATGTTGAACATTTTCTTTGTGTTTATTTCTCATCTGTCTGTTCTCTTGGGTGAAATGCCTCTTGATGTCTTTAGTTCATGAATTAGATTTTGTTTTTGTACTGTTCGATTTTGAGAATCCTTTTTTTTCCCATAAGGAATTCTAAACACAAGTCTTTAAGACATACTTTTTATCTTTTTGCAGGTGGGTTGTTAGGGTACATCACCAAGAATCTAAGGTCAAATGTATCTGAACACAGAATGTTTTTATAGACATTATCTCCACTCAGTAAAAGCAGCCCAAATGTTATGGAGTGAAAAGAAATAATGTGTACAAATCCATACCTCTCTTCCCTTGACTAAAGGCCACAGTGCGTTTCTATAGAACAAAAGGATATTTGGGGAACTGTGTCCCACCACGGCAAAGGAGGATGTAACGTTTAGAATATGGAAGAAAGAGGCTATTTTGTTTCAAATAGGAGAGTGAGGCCACAGGGTAAATGGCTAGCAACAGTAAGAAAAGGTCTATGAGAGGTGGCCATGACCAGTGTTGCTGGATTTGAGAAGTAACTCTATGAACCAGCGTGGCGAGAGAGTGGAGTGGGTCAAAGACAGAGAGGATCGGAAAGTGACAAAGAGAGAGGCATAATGCAGGAGGGGAGTAAATAAGAAAAGAGGGGAGGACAATAAAGGACCTGAGGATGGAAGAATTAAAGGAGGGCAGACAGATCAGTGCGTGTGGTTAGAGGGGTCAGGGGGTACTTCATGTTCCCACTGGGTAAGTGAGTGCTTCTCAATCAGAGGTCATTTTCCCCCCAGGGGACACGTGGTACTATCTGGACACACTGCCAGTGATCTTACAGACTGGTGGTTAGGGGTGCTACAGGGAACTAGCGGGTGAAAGCCAGGGGTGCTGCCACTTATTCTACAATGTACAGGACAGTCCCCCCACCCCCCACCAATTATCTGCCCAAACGTCAGTGAGGCCAAGGCTCAGAAACCCTGGGGTCACTTTATGTCAGATAAAATACACTCATTTTAAACAAATAGTTGTTGTTGTTGTTGTTATGTGCTGTAGAGTCTGATCCGACTCATAGCGACCCCTCCTTGGGTTTCCAAGGCAGTATCACTACGAAAGTAGATTGCCCCATCTTTCTTCCGAGGAGTGGCTGGTGGGTTTGAACCGCCAGCCTTCGGGTTAGCAGTCAAGTGCCTTAGGCACTAAGCCACCAGAGCTCCCAAACAAATAGTAGTTGACCTCAAATAGATATTCATGGAGAAAATGGGAAATGATCTTGGCTGGGAAACTGGATCAACTGGACAAGAGGCTGGACGTACCTCCAAACTGCTTCTTCCAGTTGCAGGGGATTTTACACCGCTGGGTCTTCATGGTTTGCTTGCACTCAGCTCCGGTCCGCGTGCCTTCCCGGGTGCCCAGCCCACAGTCCCCACTGGTGGGCACACACACACTCCACTGCCACTCCCCACAGTCAGACTTCTTCACCTTTTTTTCTGGAAGGAAAGATGGAGAAAGAATCAGCTTTCAGAAAACACTGGAACTCCTGGGTTCAACCAAGTTCACTCCCGGGCACCATCTTCACTGGGTCAATGCTGTGTATTCTCCTCTCAGTACTCAGTCACTAGTGGGATGTTGATCAGTGTTAGCTCAGTGACTGAATCACTAAATGACCAAGAGAAGGGAGAAAGAAAACAGAGGAAGGAGCTGGAACAAATATAATGTAGCTCTTATTGTGTGCTAGGGACAGGGCTAAGTGATTTGCCTACACCTTTTTTGAGAAGCAAATATTTCTGTAAAAGAACAGATGGTCAAAAGCAATGAAGCCTGAAAAACAAGAATCTAATCTATTAGAAGTAAACATTGTTTGATTAGCCTTCTCAGTGTAAGTCGATGCTCCCTTCTCTGTCTTGTAGATAAAATGGCATGACGCAAAGATGGTGGAGCAGACTCAAGGCTCCCACCTCCACTGCTCACTTACTGAGGGGCACTGGGGAGGTGCTGTGTCCTGTCTGGCCTTCAGTTTTCCCCAATGTAAATCTCAGACTTAGAAACTTTGCAGGGCCCTGTTCAAGGCCATGGAAGTAAAGCATCTGACTTCCGGTTAAAGTTCTGTACAACATTCCATACACAGCAGCTGCCAATAGGACCATCATCTTCATCAATCAGCACCCATACTCCAGGATGCAGTGAAGGAAATGAGAAGGGATGGGGCTCAGGAGCCTCTGAAGACTTAGACGGCAAGAGGAAAGGAAGGAAGGAAAAGGGAAAGGAGGGACGGAAAAAGGGAGGATGAAAAAAGGGGAGAAAGGAGGCCGATAGGGAGGGAAGAAGGATTAAAGCAAGTCATTGGGCTAGATCCACTGCCATCAAATCGATTCTGACTCATAGTGACCCTCCAGGACAGAGAAGAACTGCCCATAGTGTTTCCAAGACTGTAAATCTTTAAGGAAGCAGACTGCCTAGTCTTTCTCTCATGGGGCGGCTGGTGGGTTTCAACCTCCAACCTTTTAGTTAGCAGCCAAATGCCTTAACCACTGTACTACCAGAGCTCCTTAGTCATTGGGCTAGATGGACATGAATCCATGAAGCACCTGGCCTTCATAATCTCTCTGCTTACCTGGCTTCTCCTTCTTTCCTGCTTCTGCATTGTCCACAGCTGCCAAAATGAAAATGAATGCCAAGAAGGCTGCTGCAAATTTCCGACGCTGCTGCTGGGACTGTTGGGACTGCATTCTAGGGATAAACAGAGAACAGAAGAAACCGGCATCAGTCTAAGTCAATGAGGAAGGCTCATTAAGTCCCTATGCAGAGCTCCACGTCCATCCATTAGATCTCAGGTGGGTTCACAGCAGTGATCGTGGATGGAATTTTATTTTTTCTCTTCAACAGTCACAGAAGTAAGGGCTTTTGTGCAAACAGTCATCTACCCACATGGCCATTTGCTAAACATAATTCATATGTTGTGAAAGGGAAGAATGTGGGCGATGTGATGTGTGTTTGAGCTGCTGGCCACAGTAAGTTTGCTGATAGAGGGGCTTGGTAATGTCTATCACTACAGCCAACTACAAAACTGTGGCTGATCCCCACAACTGACCATGGTGCTGAAGTCCACATGGATCATTCACATGGGCACAAGACATGGACCATCTGCTCAAGCATGTGTTTATTGTTTATCTTAAACGTGTTGTTAATGGCCAACATCTCTGACATTTTTATGTTTCACCATGATCATGACTATCATCATCTCATCTTCATTATTCATTCATCAACTGAAGACAGAAGCAGCAAACAGGAGAGACCGCACATCTGTGATGACATCAAACATGCTGTAAGCTCACATCTACTCTAAGCCCTCGAAGTTCTCTGATCTCCCGAGCAGGCTTTCTACTCACTCATGCTTTCAAGTTCTCCACATTGGATGTGAATCAATATCCCAAGATAACATATGAAGGACTGCTCCAGAACTTGAAAGCATGGGATACAGCCAAAGGATTATGAGGTCATCTGGCCAAAATATATTTGAGGGTGCCTTGGACCAAGCACTTAGCCCTGTCCCTAGCACCAAGTGGGTGGGACACACCCACTTCCCAATGGTGATTCTAAGTCATTGGACGCAGCCACTCACCTGGCAGTGATTAATTTCCACCTGCTGTGTTCATGGCATTTTATATTTCATACAGAAATGACAGTAATGACCTGTGGTCATTAACTTAGAGGGTTTTTCCAGAAGTAGTAATAGATTGGTGTAGATGTTTTCATACTCTCTTGAGCATGAGCAATAAAACCTTTTTAAAAGCCAATTATTCTCTCATATATTGAGAGCCTTCTGTTCTGTAACTTGCTTTTCTCATTGAAAACTGACTGTAAGATGATGTACCTGTTAATTGAATCTCACATCTGCATTTCTGTAACATTGGAAATATTCTCCCTTAACTGTGTCATTTTTTTTTAAATTGACAACTTAGGGTTCAAAGTGTATAGATAAAGCATATTTAATTTACAAATTTAAATAATTTGGCCATTTGGTCCTTTCCTTGCATTTCTAAGTTTACATTGATTGCTAAGCTCTTACTTTTACTATTGTTTTCCAAAAGTTTTGTTTTGAATCAGATGAATTTCAAGGAAAGAGAAACCCCATGCCGGAATCTCCTGACCAACCACATAGTCGAGCCTCAGAGATCTACAAAATGAGATCACTTCACTGAAGTGTGAGCTGAGGGGAGGAAGGGAAGGCAAGATTTGGGATGAGAGCTGCATCTGCTTCTGATATTAATTCAGAACAATCCAGAATCTTAAGAAGTGGATGAATGGAGAATTTCAACTCTGAAATGTTTTGAGGACAATGCACACATGTCCATGATCATAGTCAGCCATCTGTGCAAAACATGTGAACAGCAAAAGGCTGGACTCAAGCATACCCTTCTCCCATTCTGAGAGTTCTGATGGCAGAGTGGTTAAAGCATTCAACTGCAAACCAAATGGTCAGCAGTTCGAACCCACTAGCTGCTGTGAAAGATGAGGCAGTCTGCTTTCATAAAGATTTACAGCCTTGGAAACCCTAT